TTATACACATCTAGATGTGTATAAGAGACAGGGGCAGGGGGCGAGGGGTGGGAGGCAGGGGGCGGCATGTGGCCTGCAGGGATACAAGAAGACCCATCAGAGCTGGACGCAAGAGAATGACATTGGTCAATGCATTTAGTTAATTTTAGTATGATAGTGTGCGGTGTCTGCGTAGCCATGGGCAGACTCATTTTGGTGCACGGATGCATGGCTGATGAGGTCTGTCTCCCCCCTTTATATCGATGCCTGGATGAATGGCTGATGAGGTCTGTCTCCCTTCATATGGGTGCTCGTAAGCACCCAGTCTGCTTTTCTGGGATGCTGATCCTCTTTGTCAGCAGCAGATGTCCCTCCTCACCAATGGATGGAGCCTCAGCACAGGGACTGCAGCCGCGGAACCTCAGGCCCACCCTGGAGCAGCAGGCTGCTCATCATCTCTGACTAAAAAAAAATAAAAATGAATAGAAAGACTTTAGTATGGGGAGATAGTGTGCATTCATGAACGAGACTGAGCTGAAGGCATGATAATGTCGATTCAGGCTGAAACCTATAGGCTATAGGGATCCTACACCCAACCCATGTGGCTGAACCGTGTAACTGTTAGTAAACAGAACATGAGTTCAAATCCTGATGCAATCAGATCAAAGTTCATAAAACACAATACAGTCTGGAACTATCCCCTTTTCCAAAGCAATTACGCTTGGGATCCTATGGTGGCCGGGGAAGGTTCTGAGCTTCAAAATCTGTGTACTATTCTCTGACCTGCTGGTGGGAATGGAACTGGACTGCTGTGCAACTTGAAAATGGAAGGGGTCTGCCATGAGGCCTTGTGCTCTTTCTTTTAACAAATGTATCAAGTAGAGTTTGAGAAGCATTGGAAAACTGGAAGTGCTCAGATAATCAGATTGTGAAGAGAGCCTGGAGAACAGGTTAGGTATCAGATTGTGTGTGGTACCTTTCCCGGCTTAGTCCGTCCTCCATAGCTCATAATGGCACAACCGCTGGGACTGACCCCCTTGGACAGATCCCCCCAAAAAATCTCACAACTCAAAAAAAGAAAGAAAAAGGGCAGTGTTACGATCCTGGCCATTGCAAAAAGATGTGAACTTGAGAGGAGAGAGAGGGAAAGAAGAAGGAAGAAGAAGAAGTACACCAGCAAAATATCAATGATAGTTCCCCCTTGTCACCAACCAATTACTCCTCCGTATCTCCTCTCTCGTTTAAACAATAAATAATAATAATAATAATAATAATGAATGGCTGAACTAGAATCAATGCTCGAATCCCTCTTCTACTTCCAGCACCACAAGAGGTCCACAATAACCATGGCCGCCCTCCTCTCTCTTCCTCATCCAGGCCGACGTGCAAAAGACAACGCAAAGCAGCTATGTCGTCTTCCCCTCAGGCCACCATGCCTGACTCTGCCTTGAAGCTTCTTGATGCAGCGCCACCCAAACTGGGGCCTTGCAGATGCAGCACCTACCAAGGTGATGAAGATGCGTCCACCATAGCCCCTAGCGCTCCCCTCTCCTAGTCCCCTTCTTCCTCCTCCTCCTACCCGAGCTCCTCCACCATAGCGAAGGTGCGGAGCCGGGTGCTCCTCTTCCCCCCAGCGCTGCTCTACACTAGCGCTGCTTCATCCAGCGCTCCAGCAGCATGACCGCAAAGCTGCACGCAGCAAATAAGGAGGAGCACTTCGGCCTACCTGCCTCTTGGGCAGTGACTTCCAGGCAGTGCGGCCTCCAAGCAACGGGTACCTCCTCCCTTTCGGAGGGAAACATCATCGCAGGCTCTGATATCATCCGCACAGGCCCTGGACTCAGGCTACCTGGACTGGTACCCTCCCTGACCTAGCCTACTGCTATTGGTCCTCTGAAAATACTGCCTTGTCTTCTTCTGCTCGGCATCCGGTTCCCAACACATCTACCATTACTTCAGTGGTACCGGCCTACCTGGTACTCGAGAGTGTTTTTCCCCTGCTGTACTAAATGTCGTGGGCCTACTCCCCTCTACTTGGGTGTTTTCCCCGCTGCAACCCTCGAAGTCACTGCCACAGGTAATTACTGGCCTCACGGGCTTCATAACAGACAAGTGCCCTGTCGGGCCACACACGCACTCTGCGTCAGGCAAACGTGCACTCAGACAGGCACACGGACCAGCAGGCACGCACACACACAGACTTAGAAATCACAGCAGAACTTGAATGCGGGAATCTCAGCAAGGCATACATTCCAGCGGCAAAACTCAGAAATCAGCAGTGTTCTCAGTCTGTGTTTTGGCAGGTCATTACGGTCGCTACGATATCCATTGAGTCTTTAGCTGGCAACTGGGAAGCTGCATTTTATGATAAAAAAGAAAAGGGGTAACTTCAGTAGAGTCACAAAAACGAGTTAAAGAAAAAAGGCACAACGAGGATAACTTCCACTCTCTCTCTCTCTCTCTCTCTCTGTGTGTGTGTGTGTGTGTGTGTGTGTGTGTGTGTGTGTGTGTGTGTGTGTGTGTGTGT